TATGATTATGGTCAGCACAAGTTAAACCCTCTGAGTACCGTCCAGAGTCGCGACTGCCACATACGACCCGCCAGAGATGGCCGCGCGGTACGCGCCAGTAATGCTAGGATACTTGCCGAGCAAAGCGTTCATGTATCATTCTAAGCTTTGACGGCAGTGTACAGGGAAATTTATGATGCATGAAATACAATGTAATAATAATAACAATTTACCTTTATTCAACTATGCATACAAAAACAAAAGAATAATACCTGTATCTATGAAGCCAGAAAAAGTCCAAAATTGAAAAGAAAGGAGGTATTTCGGTCGTGGAGGTATTTTTCAAGTCAACCGTATGTTTATATGTCTAATAGGTACGTAGTAGTGGTTAGTAGCTTATTAATATACTAACAACAATAAATTTAAATATGCCCCAATCCACTCATTAGAACCCCAACTGGAACGTCATACGTCAAAAGCTACAGACCTTTCGCCTTTGGCATAGTAGTAACCTTGCGAGGAAATTTCATCAAAATGCGAGTAGTAGTCTCCAATTTATAGAAGGGTCAAGGATTAATGGACAGATAGACAGGCAGAAAAGAATGATATACATGTCATATAACATCCAAAACGCATAATATTTGAATATTGAAATGATTACAGTACTTCGCCAGTAGGCGTGGGAAGTAAAATCCAATTTCTTCCAGGTCAAAGCCCATTTAGGTCTCCCATGGTGAATAAGCAACTCTACATCAAGATGTTAGTAACAAACCCAGTATTTATTATTTTTTCATGAACTGCTGCCCTTCAGAGTTGTCGTTTACCGAAGAAAGGTTGTTCAACAAAAACATCCAGATACTACGTTTGGTTACCATACAGCCAAAGAGGAGTACCAATAAATACTGTATCATTCATTATAAATCTTATATTATAATTTATAAATTTTTGGTCCTACCATGGTGTGATACAGTAAGTAGGCGCGACATAACAAGAATGTTAATCTATAAATTTTCATCGTAACGTTTTCGACTAAGCCAAAATGTTCTGAGTAAAAATATACTATACGAGTATATTATCTACTCGACGCGTGGGTCCCAGCCGCTCCCTGGTGTTAATTTATAAAATGAAATGCAAATATGTGAATTAATAGTGGACTAGGTGTTTGTTTTCATGATGATCAACGAAGCACATTGTACGGTAAAATTGTATAAAATCAAAATGAGAACTTAGTTATGTACAAAAATGATTCTACAACTTTTACTTCCCATCTCACTGGCGACGAAGTATTGTTATTGCAAAAACATTCGAATATGACGTGTGCATCATGAAAAACTGTTTCACGCATTTCCGTTGGTCTGTTTGTCTGACCGTCAGTCTGTCTGTCGATCAGTCTGTCTGTGGGTATGTATGACGGTCTGTATGTAGATCTGACTATCGTTCTGTCTGCTGGTCTGACTGTCGGTCTGTCGGTCGGTCTGTGTATCAGTCCACTTCCAACCCCGATAATTCTTTTACACACATCATAGATTGCCCCGTACATTTGCTCTTTAAACAGAAAGATTGAAAAGTATTTTCTACAAGCGTCCCTGCGGTACGCTGACTTTAACGGCCTGTGAGCCGGTGTTCATATGTGAGCTCGCGTGACTGGTGCTCCGCGGACGCTCCTTTGCGTCTGACGAATAGTGCGATCAGGTATCTCAGAGAGTCTAACCTAAACATGCGGGTTTCATCCGTGCGATACAAAACATCCAATCAGAGGCTGATTCGTGCTTTTTGGCACCTCATCAGCATGATCTAGGCTTTGTCTGTGGTACAACAAACAAAAGAAAAATAACTTTTTTCGGTCCAAGATATAAGGTGATACGGTGTTGCGTGGGAAGTGAAGAGTCCTATAGAAGCTAACTGGCGTCATCTCCATTCCTTTTCTCATGTGATACCAGCGAATCGGACCTCTACCCAACTTTGCAGATATGCAGGTGCTGAAAGTATATATAAACGCAGTTTGATGCCATATGTTTTGTCTTCCAGTAAACAAGTAATGTCTGGCAGCCCTGGAAAGTAAAATATGTCATCGAATATCCTAAATTCGTCCCAAATGCTACTACTACGGTTGCTACGGAATTCTGATGGAATTTACTTCAGAGGAGTATTTCCGAGGTGCTGTTGATAGTCAGTACGTTTCTGCCGCACAGCAAATTTGGACAAAGTCGACGAATTTTATTTTTTCGAAAGTCCTTTACTGAAGTTACTGTTGTTCAATGGTGGAAAACCAGAGCATGCCAATTCTTTATTGTCTAGTATTGACGACAAGGGACCGATTGAATAGTTATTATAGGCAGCTTTCGTCTCTCGTATCTCATATCACACAGTAAACTGTGTGTGCTCGAATCTCGCATTAGCAAATTTTCACTCGACAAAATCTCGCGAAACTAAGGGACTCCGCAGGCTTTCTATCGGCCGATAGTTTCGTCGCATTGGGCTGCTAGTGCGCACACCGAGTCCACTAAACACTTTGGTTGGTGAAGAGTCCGCAGACTAGCCAACAGCTGGCCGATGCTCAATATTCCGGACGATACTATACCCCATCCGTAGTCCATTTATGCCCAGACAAAACACAACATGCCCAAAAGCGAGATTGGTCAGTCCCTATTTTCCTCAATGGTCTTGGAATAATCTAACAAAATAAATGATTAACTTTATAGAAAAAAAGTGAACACACTTTTCACAATTCTTTATTCCCTGGAAGTACTTGAATCATCCTCCGGATGGTTAATATTAATTATTACAGGTTCTACTTTTTTTAAGCCACATAGTTTTTTATATTTGCCCAAATCATTTCAATGGGATTGAATTCACAGTGATAAGGGGGCCTTAAAAGGTCTTATTTTGGCTCTTAGACATTTCGTCAATAGCATTAAAGTTATATTTATATTTGTGCTGCCTGACTAGATGGATAAGTTCTGCTTTGACCATATTTTCATTGAAACTAATGTCTTTTGATAGGAGGCATTTTTGAATTTCTGCCTTCCTTGGGGACATTGTGGGAATGTTTCTAGTTTTCTAATGTGATATGCAGCATTATCAAGTACAATGACGGCATTGTCGTCAAGCTTTGGGAGCGTTTCTCCAAAGCATCGTTCAAATGAACTCCCATCCATTTCTTCATGGTAGTCGGTCATTTTCTTTGACTCAAATGCCCATAGGGCAATGGGCACAAAGCCATCTTCACTGCCAATGTGATGACAAATCGTTTTCCTTTTCCTGGAAATAATTATTTCATATAGTATGCAAGAAAACTAATAATAATACAAGCAGAGTATCTAACAGGTGTTGCTTCCAAATCTACCAGATATAGCTAAGTTAAGCGTAGATAAGTTTTCAGCGTGGGCTCATACTTTAGGTTTTGTATGTCCTGCATTTATCCAGGTTTCATCCAAGTAATAAGTCTTCCTGCCCTAGTCGCGGTATTTCTTTGTTGATTTTAAATAATTTCTTCTCTATAAAATAATCGCTTGGCTGTCCATCAAAATACTATTTCTGACCCGTCTTCTATACACAAAATGTAGTTCTTTAAGTAAACTATAGAATGTGATATTTTTGAAAGTAGGTAAGTCTTTATCACTACTGTCCTCCTGTAATACTTTGTCTATGGTGGGAAGTTCCTGCCTCTCAAAAAATTGATGAACCTTGCGTCTGATGGCATTCCGATCAAAGTTATCACCTACCGTATCCAACAGCTTCATGTTATGCAGCCTCTTGTGTGGTGGAGACAATTTTTAGATTTTTTAATATTCTTTAACAATGTTGAAAATTGTCTTAGGACATAAGCCTGTTTTGTTCGCCACACGTGTATCAATATCATGAATTTTCATTTCAGAGTGCTCTAAAATTTCGTTCCTATGAACGTTAAGGACAATTTGTTGCCTGAATATTCAAATGTCCCTTCTTGTCACATTGTCACTGAAGAGGAAGCATGGCTGAAGGAAGCATTAGGAGAAATATTCTCAGTTTCTCTGTTGTATCCAAAGACGACATGTTGGCGTATAAACACACGCTATGTATGCGCCGAATATGAACAGCAACTGCCGGCGTCGGCGTGCCGGCGATACCCCGAGGCTGAGTTCTACCCTGTCGAATCCTGCACTTGTTCGCGTAGTTTTATCGTCGAATAGCTATTGCAATGCTTAGGCGGCTGCCGCTTTGCCGCGCTGCATCTTTGTTATGTCGGGACGTAAATGGACTACGAATAGGGTATAGTTTGTATCTACCCTTAGAGTAAGCGGTCGCATAATGAAAATAAATACAATATTGTTCCAAAATGTTATTATTGCTGTCATACAATGGAGAAGAAATATCAAAAAGAGATTCCGAGGATATAGGGTGCATGCCATTCTCAGTGATAGATTTGTTAGTGCAAAATTTTACACAATGCACACCAAATTACTTGATCACCCGAAAAAACACGGTACTGTCCGACGTCCAAAACTCGGAGCGTACTGAACTAGGGGCCGACTAAACAATCGACGTGTATGCGTAAGTGGAAGTAAGCCAACACTGATTAAGCAGTCGGCCGATAGATTAGTTTGAAGGGAATCGGGAAGCCCTTCAAACTTTTTATCGGTCGATACTGAATCACTGTAATGTGCGCATACTCATACCTCTCCATACTCATTAAAAATCCGACCAACCTATCGGCCGATAGCAAGTCTGCAGTCTGCGGGCGCCCTTAGACTATGCGACAAAGACTGTCACGTTAAAGATTTTGTCGCCGCTCGACAAAATCGCATATGCCTAATTAGGAGTTTGCGTGAAAATGATTCCAAATCATTTTTTATATGTTCTGAATTCCTGCTTTCTTTGAATGGCCCAATAAACATTTTTTCGATTGGATTTCTAAAAAATCATGTACATTTTACATATTTTCACTACTTCATTTATTACATATGGCGAAATACATAAAAATGGAGGTAGAAAACTGCAAAACCAACATTTAGTATTTTAATGTAAAAACACAATAGCTTTCCACTTTTATAACTAGAACGTAAGCTATAACCAAAAGATACAAATATTAATGTCGTTTGCCTAGCTCTGCTCCTTCTGGGCAAGTGTGGATCTAAATTCAACAACAACTACAACATTAGTTGCGACAACATCGAGTAGTCTTATGAGAGTGCTTTTCTTTATGACAAGGAAACCACAAGCTGTGAATTGAGGTTTAAATACTTCCAACACTCTAACAAGTATTTTGAGTTCTTCAGCAATTTTGGAGCGATGCCTCAACGTTTCTTCTACCAACTGCGACGTCTTCAATATGTCAATTGCTTCCATCGTTGTTGAATTCAGACAAAGGACCATAGAGAGTACTTGACACTTGGAATGAGGAAAAAATGTATATAAAAAATCCGCAAAGTTTATCATATTTTCATGGAGAATGTTTGCTATTTGATTACCTATTTTCGATAGAACGAGGGAGAAAAGCTTCTAATAAACATCTAAAGCACATCAAACAAGCATTGTACTTCTTGTTTCATCGGTATCAACTTCTCATAATTTTGACAAACGGGAATGTGAATTTTGACAAACGGGAATGTGTTTCAGAAGGCAAGATTTATACATGTATACGTATATTGAATGAAGTTAATGTGCAGTAAAATAACTGTGTTAATGTTAGGACGTTCGTGTTTGTGTTACTATGACACATTTGCATGTATTTACAAAAACAATACGCTATGTAAAAGAAAGTCACAACCGTAACTTTATTTATCGATCTGAAGGTTGAGAAGCTACTTTCAAACCGTTATTGAGTTTGAGTCAGTTTTTAAACTTACCACACACTTAGTGAAAGCAAAGATCACCAAGTAAAAGGCCGGCCAAGTCCAAGCAACGTTGATTTCGTGCATCATGAATAGTCCACAAACTTGTCGTAATATTAGGAGAACTGCTTGCCACAGCACCATCGTTATCTTCAATCCGAAAAGATCGTTGAAACAGTCGCATATTTCTGCTAGATCTGTATAATGTTTGTTAATATTTCTTATGCTCCTGATGATTTTTCCTTCCAAATTTACTTCTGAAATATTGCTCTGTATATATCTTTGGAACTTTCTGTTCAGCTCTGCAAACTGTTTCTTCAAAACTAGAGATGTATTGCATATGAATAATGTGTTGACTAGGCAGGAGTATTCAACCCAGTTTCCGAAGGCAAAAAAGGTGACTGTTTCAAAATATGTCACATATTTTCCAAAAGGTGTTGAGTAAACATAAATCCAGCATCCTATTTCACCAAAGTACAGCATGTGCCCTATGCTCATAAATAAAAGATATTTCCATCGCAGACTAAAGTCAATCTTCAGTTCAGCTTCTTCGTCTAAATCTGAAAGACTGTTTAAAAACCATTCCCATTTGTCACGTTTTGTTATACATTCGAGTGTCAGTATAAACAACATTACGTTGACCACCACAATGTCAATGCAGAACAAAGTTTTCTCAAACTTGGTCAAGGTGAATGGCACCTGATATGTCATAAGAAATGGGAGATAAAGTATCGGCACAAGTAATGTTGCTAATGTGAAGATCTTATTCAGAAGAGGTGTTACCATGGATTTTTTGTCGAAGCTGAACCAAGGAGCAATGCTAAAAATAGCAGAAAGGAAATACGTTAGCTTGCAGACTTTCATCGTGCGAGAGGATGTCACAAACTGAACTAATTCAGATAATTGCTGCATATTATCTAGCCACTCCCGAAACAGAAGGGATGCCATTAAGAGATTGACTTCTCGAACTATACAGGGAAATACCTCCATACCTATACAGGGCAGCTAGGTAAAGTAGGAGAAGAAAGTTGGAAAGGGTCATAATGGTGCTGATATACAGGGTGACAGGTAAATAGGTGTAAAACATTTTAGAAGGTGATAGTACAGCTCCTTTGCTATCAAAATTCGTATATAATACCATACCCTATATTCAAAGGTTAAAAAGTTATGGAAGATTTCATTTTTTTTAAAAAAACAACCCAGATTACAGAGTAAAATAGTTGAGATAAAAAATAGTTGGTGATTAAACAATCTTTTTTTGGTGGTTTCAGGTTATTTTTAAATAAATAATTCTCATAAATTAACAATCATATGAAAACACTAATGAAAACGTATTTATTTTCATTTCAATGTTAAATACCTAAAATAACTAAAACCATGACTCAAAGCTCATTTTCCTATACATCAGTCAAACTTCTAAACCAATACAATATAGGTCAATTTGAAGACATGTCTCCTAATATGTTCAAAGGAAAACTGAAACAACTGCTTCTGTGAAGTATAAGTTGTCTATTATTGCTTATTTTCTTTGTATACGTACATATGTTGTTATTATTGTTCATTGTTGTTATGTAATATTCTAAAATTAATGTAATGTAAAACTTGTTTCTTGTCATATTACTTTTCTTTTTGGCTTGTTGTTACTTTTTACATGCTCGGTTAAGTTAACAGCACAGCTGGCCTTCGCCGAGTTTAAAATAAAGGCGTTTTTATTTATTTATTTATTATTTATTAAATGAAAATTTTTATTTTCAACTTTCACATTAAGAAGTCTTTTTTTCAAAAAATCATTATAAAGAAAATGTACAGATAACTGTAAAAACTTCCTCGTTTCATTAGGTTTCTAAAATGGTATAATAACATATCAGTAAGTAAACCATTTAACAAAACAATATTACTTTGCTAGAAAGGACCGCTAAGCGCATTTCATTGTACTGAGCAGGTAAACCGAGCCTTTCATGGTTCGACCCTTTTTGTTATTTTTTGTGCCCTGTGCCGTTATTCGGGTTTAAGTATTCGGAATATGTCGTCGCTCCTCCGAAGCAAGTTCTGCGTGTGTTATGAATTGACACAGCTGACGGATCAAGGAAAGGGAACTAACGCTTATGTTAGTAGAATATCAACCTTTAACGCGGTAGGACGTACTTTTACTTTTTTGATCAGTTTTAATAATGGCGAATTACCGTAACGAAGAATACGCTGATATTCTGTTTTGTTATGGTTTAAGTGATGGAAATTCCGTTGAAGCCAGGCGAGAATACGAAAACCGTTTTCCGAATCGGCGAATACCGAATCATCGAGTATTTGCTTCTGTGTACCAACGCGTCAAGGAAAGTGAACAGGTTCATGAGAGACGTCATGATGCTGGTAGACCTCGGGTTTGACGACGAAGATCGAGAGGCAATACTGGAATGCTACGGCAGAGACCCGACGACGTCTACACGAGTTATAGCAAAGCAGCTTGGTTTAACTCAGTGGAAAGTTTGGTTCGTTTTGCATTCGGCGAGACTTTACCCTTTCCATTACACACCGGTTCAAGTATTAGAAGAAGGAGATCCCGCAAGAAGAATTGATTTTTGTCGATACATACTTCATAGGGATCATGAAGAAAACGACTATTTAACTAAAATATTTTTGAGATCCGAACTCTGGGAGTATCTCGGAGACCTGCCCCTGAATATCAGGATGCAGATGATCTGCCAACACGATGGCTGTCCCGCGCATTTCCGTCTGGGTGTTAGACAGTGGCTGGACGAGAAATATCCTTGTCGCTGGATTGGCCGAGGTGGACCGACACCGTGGCCAGCGAGGAGCTCAGATTTAACACCGTGTGACTATTATTTATGGGGGCACCTGAAGTCACTGGTGTACGCTGAGCCCATAGACACTCTTGCACAGTTGAAAGAAAGAATTATTGTTGCTGCTGACACTATTAGAGGACAACTAACTGGCCGCATCACGCGTACCAACATGAGAAAAAGACTACGGGCTTGCATAAGAAACAGCGGGCGTCAGTTCGAATAACAATTGCAATGAATTTTACCTTCATTTTATTATTGTATTTTACTTATCAATTGTAGTAACTTTTAGTCAGTTTTTATTATTCTGTAGTACAATTACAACTGTGTAAATAATCTAATCGTGTAACTTAACCGTAGTTTAAAATAATAACTATCCCATAGCTTACAGTTACATTATTTTCACAAAAACACTTTCTTATCAATCAGAGAGTTGTGTAAATAGGAGACAAGCCATTGGTAAATTTACTCCCTATTGTTGTATTACAATACATTATGTTTAGTTTCACACAGTTTTTGTGCACTTATCATCCCAATTTAGATTCCTTATGAAACAAGGATATTATTTAAATTGTTTGTATGTTTTTTTGTATACTGATTTTTTTGTAAAACACCTTACTTCCTGTAAAACGTTATTTGTTTTTCTTAGTTAAACACTTTTGAATGAAAATAAATACGTTGTTTGGTATTGTTTTGGAATCTTTTTTAATTTATAATAGTTAATTATTGAAATAACCCAAAACCACAAAAAACAAATGTTTAATCGCCAACTTTTTTCTCTCTCGACTTTTTTACTCTGAAATATGGATTGTTTTTAAAAAAATCTTAAATCTTCAATAACTTTTCAACCTTTGAATATAGGGTATGGTATTATATACTAATTTCGATAGCAAAGGGGCTGTACTATCACCTCCTAAAATGTTTTACACCTAGTTACCTGTCACCCTGTATGGTACAGCGTCTATAGCAGTGTAGCATCTCTGCAAATTACTTAGAGAACGGAAGATCGAGAAAATGAACAAAACTCTGTCTGATGGTCACACAATAGTGTAGCATTTCCGAGTCCGGCAGATGCGAGTTTTTTGTGCCCAATGCCTAGTACGGACGTTTTCGACTCAACCCTAGATAACGAAAACCTATGACCGTTGGTGTCTCGTCACAACACGCTTAAGTGCCATATGTACATTTTCAGTAACAAAGAAAATAGAACATCCCGATCCCTCCGCGTGGTATCCCCTTGGGTGCTCTCTTCTGGGAAGAAACCGCTCACGGGTAAGGTTCTCAGGAGATAACTTTGAAAGTTTAGGTTTGCGAGACAATTCTATGTTACCTTGCAACCAAGTGACATAGGTACCTTTGTGTGTTGCGGGATGTTTTGTTCTTCAGATGTTATCCAATCTCAGCGCAACTGCGAATTATTCGTAAATTGACTACCATACCAAAGGTATTTTAAAAAGTCAAAGACCTCTGATTTTTTGAAGTATGGTATCAATCTTGCAAATACGCTGTTACATCAATTTTGTCTACGTTTTGCAAGGCAAATGGGCTTGTAAAATTACTTTACCAAACTTTAAGTTTCCAACCAACTTTTGAACAAAAATTATATTGACACACTTTTCAATGTTTTGGATTGAAAGTTAAAAAAAAATAATATAACGAGATACAGTAGTGCATCATATAAATAATTTATTCACAATATACAGAAGATATTGGGCAAATTACAACACACTTCTTAATTAATCATCTGATGTTTGGCAACATTCATCACTCTCCGACTCCAGGAGTCTCTCAGGCAGAAAGACGTAGATTAATAATTAAGATTAATAATTTTCAACACAATCAAATATAAAATATGATATGGTTAATAAATAAAAAAATAAATAAATCGAACAAACGTCTCATCAGATCGCAATTGTGTCAACAATCTCAACTGACTGAAACTTGCGTATCTACATACTAAAAAACGTTCCGCCTATGGCTTACTGAGAGTGGGATGTCCCTTAACAGCGTCAACAGCAACATCATTTCTGGACATTGAAGACCACATACATTTTTAAGCTCTCTACGATATAAATATTCGCCACGATTAGAACTGGACCACATTAAGAGGGCGGTAACAGATGTCCATAAATCTTACCAGAGACTATCACAACAATTTCCTATATTCTTATAGGGTACAATCGACGCAAGGGAGAGGGTATAAAGTGATGACGTAGCGGGCATAACCTTAGGCTGTTCGAACTCTAGAACTAACGTCTCGCTCAAAAATCGTTTGCTTCTTTACTTCGGTACTGGTCTCATACCACATAGGAGCGGATCGGAACTTATCACTATAGTATATAGTATAGCCTAAAATACTTATTCCGAGCCTCTGCCACCTTCGCTGAAATTCTTAATAAAGACTTGAAAAGTCATGTTTGATATCCTTTTGTTGCACTTTAGAATAATTGTCCTGATTACCCGGTAATTTTCCAAAAATTCTAATTTCTTGTCGAAAATGGACAATTGTCGGTTATCTATAAGACCAAAAAGGTCTTGCCCTATGAGAATCTTCACTCGAGATGGCTCTAAAGTAACATTTGCCGTTAAGTAATGAAAGCTAAATATTTATATAACCCTTCTTTTAAATTAATTGCTCCTAAGTCAATATTTTCTATAGTGGAGGTTATTGGTGGCTGTTGGCTACATAACTTGGACAACTAATCATGTCAAAATTATCGGAACTCATCGGGAAGTGCAACAAAATCCTTATCGAAAGTTGCAATTCACAGTAACAAGCAGCATATTATTTTTTATTAGCCTTTTCCTTTTTTTAATTATATGCAGTGACAAAAAAAGGTCAACACCTACGTATGTTTATTCGAATTCAAGAACTTTATACATATCGTTTTATCTTGCCATGTTAACATAAGTAAATCATCCCAAGCTAGCTACACTTTGTTCCAAAGAGCTATTGTCGTTT